GTGCTTCAGGATAATCGAATTGTAGAATTCATCGTGGGTATTTTTTGTTGTCTAACTTTGTTACTAAAGGAATTGCATTTCACTTACAGGCTCTTGATACATTCAATACAGCTATAGTATCCCCTATATACTATGTGATGTTTACATCTCTAACTATTTTGGCCAGTGTCATCATGTTTAAGGTACCCTCTTCTCCCATAAAATGTATATATAGTTGTATGAGGGTGTTGTTTCGGTACATGATTCGAATTGCCAAGTTTTTTTGAACAGGACTGGGATCGACAAAACGGTACTCAAATTGTTACAGAAATGTGTGGATTTGTTACAATACTTTCAGGCACTTTTCTTCTCCACAGAACAAAGGATATGGTCGAGGGTGCGTTCCTTAATTTCATTTATGGCGCTTATTTGCGTTTCTTTTTTATCCGACCTTGGAAGACACGTTTTTCTGACTGGCAAGAGCTTGATTGTTTTTGCATTCAATCAGAAAAAATAGTATGCGGATATGAAAAGAAACCTTATTCTTACTCTTACTCTCTCTTTAAGTACAAGGAACAAGAATATGCATACTATATGTATATAGATCTATGTACACACTCCTAGCTAGAATTTGGTAAACACAGTTGGTGATTTTACAAAAGGATTGACATCTGTTGTATCTATACATTCTTAACACCAAGTGTCTGTAACTCTGTATCCCTCTGGAGTTTCTGAGAGCTTGAAACTGACTGTTATTCGCTATTTTATTGCAGGTTCATCGGTAATATTACCGTTGCGGATAAGCAAGCATATAAATGAGGAAGAAGGCATTCCACTTAGACGCCAAGAATCTCTCCGGTCACCTTAAAAGCTTCTTCACTTTGTTTTCTGGTTCACTGCGATAACTGCAAACCAGAGAGTCAACCTCTTTTCCTTATCTCGACCTACTATGAACATGGACCATGGTTCTGTCTAACACTTACAAAATGGTTCAAGAAGATCGAAGAAGGAAAGAGGAGCAAGAGGACGAGATCTCAGATGAGATCATCTTCTTCTCCAATATTGGTAAATATGCTGTGAGTTCAAGCACACGCCATTAGCACACACCCACGCGTAAACCCTTTTGTGACATTTAAAATTCTATAAACAAGAGATGGGTTTTGCTTAAATTGGTCTTACAAGCATCTATAACTAAAGACTTCAATTCAAGATTTGCATTTTTTTTTATATTGAATCTTCTATTTTTCTTCCTTGGTTGGTTTAAACCCTTTGAAAAACAAGAAATGGAGACTTTCTAAGTTGACGAAAACACATGTTTTATCAGTCAATTGTTAAAGAAATAGTGTTATTTAATGAGGTGGAGTTATAACATTGATGATAATAGATAGTGACAACGTTTTATGCTCATCTTTTCCTCAATCAATCACTCCACCGGGTAGATGAGATGTCAAATTGGAACTGCGTTATGTCACTCTCATTACTCTTTTTTATACATTTCTTACTAGATTTTATCCCGCGGTACACCGCGGGTCGATTTTTTATAACTAAAAAATTATTTAGCAAAATTTTAAGTTGTATTTGTTTTGTTAATATTGTTTATTTTGTTTAGTGTTTCTGATTTTATAATTAAATTTTGATTTTTAATTCTAAGATTTCATCCAAAGTATATTGTTTAATATTAATATCGATCTAAACCCGTTACACCATATAACCCCGTTCCGTAAAATTAAACATCATTTGTTATTTTTTTTGAATAATATTTTTATCCACTACGGGTCGCAGGTTCATGCGGATAAGCCCGTAGAGAGTTGCGGGTTTGCGTGTCGACCCGCCAAAAGAGAAGCTATCTTTTGAAACCCTTTGTTGTATTTAGAGGTTTTGAGAAAATATCCCTAAAAAATAATTTTCATTATATGAAAAAAAAAGAAGTAGAAGAAATTGTAGTATCAAGTATCAACATTCCCGATTTTTACATCATTCGTTACTATTAATTTTTTTTTGCAGATAAAAATCAAAAGTTAACTAAGTCGAGATTTTTAAAAAAATTGTGTAGAGATTTTTGGTAAATTGTTGAAAACTTATTTGATTTCAAAATCTTTACTTAAGGAAAGATTTTGTAGAGACTTTTGCTAAATGGAGTTATAACATTGATGATAATAGATAGTGACAACGTTTTATGTTCATCTTTTCCTCAATCAATCACTCCAGCGGTAGATGAGATGTCAAATTGAAACTGCGTTATGTCACTCTCATTACTCTTTTTTATACATTTCTTATCTTATAGCTAATCCAAAACCAATTTATTCAAAACTATATAATAGCTTAAAATCTCTAGCTTAAAAAGTTTCAACTTTCACATATCTGATTTGGATCATGGTAAAAATTGATAAAGTTAAATCTGATTTGCATTACAAACAGAGGGATACGTGTACAAGGCTATAAACTATATATTACCTAAAAAAGAAAACTAGAGTTGACAAATCGCCTATAAATATCGTAACTTAATAAAAAAGAACCCAAAAGAGACAAAATTTTATTTTGTTACCATAATTACATATTTCTTTCGAATAAATCAAAATCTTTCTCTGCAACTCCTAAAATCCTTAGAGAAAGAAAAAAAAGAAAAAAAAAAAAAGCGCTTGTTGTAGCAGTTGAAGCAGAAAAGAAAAAGAAAAAAAAAACAGAGTAACGAATCCAACATCACAAAACAAAACACAAACTGTGTGTTGTCTCTTTGGTCATCTCTTCTTCTTGTTTCTTCTTTTTTTAATAATTTTTAATTTGGTTTCTTGATCTCAGAAAAATGGCTCTGAACAGTGTCTCATCTGAAGAATTTAGCTTCCCATCGCTAGCTTCTCATGATCCTTCTCACCATTCTGGTCTCGATTCACCTCCTTTGTGGAAACACTCGCCGGTTAACTCCTTCCGCCGGAAAGATTACGACTTTGGTTTAGCGAGATTACTCATTGGAAAAGACGATGATCATGATCAGAGGAAGAGCTTCTCGTACGTGGAGATGAGAAGTCGTTGGATGGACGACAAAGAAGAGGAGAAAATGGATATGTTATGGGAAGATCTCAACGAAGAATTGCCTCCAAGAAGCCAGAGTTTAAGGATTGAACCTGGCGGTGACGGTGGAGAGAAGAAACCGTCTTTGTTTTCCGATGAAAGCTCTGCCGTGGCCGTGGGGTGTGGGATGAAGTTATCGAAGAAGACGAAGAAGAAAAAGAATCTGAATGTGTTGGTGTTGATGAGGGTTTTGAAGAAGCTTATTGTGTTGCGAAGTTCGTCTCAGAGATCGACGGTGAAAACTCATCCACGGTGATCGATCTCCACCTTGGTAATTGTGAATTTTGGGGTTATTTTTTAGAGTTTATAAGTTACGGGGCTTTTGTGGAGCAAAATTGTAATTGTTTGAAAAAGATTTATTAGTAGTTTGAGTGGTTCACAAAAATTAATTTTAGGGTCCTAATATTTTTAATAACACATCTGGAGTCTTTTTTTTTTTTTGGTTTCTCGTCTTGATTCACTTGCCAGTTGCGTGGGGTTTGATTTGAATATGTACGAATTTACAAGACGCAAAATGAAAGAGGGTCAGAATATTAGGGTGCAATAGTAAAGGAAGGTAAAAGTTATTTATCATTTTACCGCCCGAAAACTTTTAAGTTTCTATTTGAAACATTCCATTTGTGGTTTATTGATATCACTTTTTAAATGTGTGATCAGAAAGATTTGTATCATTAGGAGCGGTCCAATGAGTACAAAAGTTATGTCTAAAATGTCTTTTATCATACTAAAAACTTTTAGGGATATTTTTTATCATGCTAAAATGAGTCTTTATTTAATACTGCTTTATTCTGAATCAAAAAGGTTTTTAAAATCGTCAAGATGTTTTCAAATTTCATGCCAAGAAGTCAAGAACCGTCCTGCCCAAAATACTTTTACAATTAGTTTTCTCCAAATGTCGAAATTAATAGAGTTTTGTTTTTGGTTTCAATCATAAAGCTTACTGTTCAAAGACTAAAAGTAATTTCAAAGGAAACATGTTAAGCTACAACTATGATTCTATAGTAGTAAACTAGTAATAGGTCTAGTGCAATGGATCAAAAGCTTAATGACCGATCTGGTCCAATTTCATCAGAATCAACCCAATGTTTTAGTATATACATCAAACGACAAAAAGATTTAAAACCGATGTAAAAAACATGAATATTGACAAAATATGAAGATCACCAAGAATTAAAACTGATATAGGTATCTCCGGAATCATTGGCAGATTGGAAGAGAAATTAGGTGACCTCTTCATATGAAAAAAAAAAGAGAGTTATTGAATACTCTTACTTAGAAGACTGGCAAACTTTTTCTATAGGTCAAGAAGTCTAACGGCGCGACTCTTAACCTACTCTCACTATCGACCCGAATCTTCAAAACCGGGTTACGGATCCAATTTCGGATAACCCCTAAATTCTCAGTCACTCAGAATTAAAAAAAATCCCAACTTTGTCCACAAATCGCAAGTGGGTCATTAGAAAAATCGAAGCTTTTGACTGATCTCCGTCACTTTAGTCTCCGTCCACGACCCTTCTCGTTTCCTTAGGGTTTTCTCACTGAAAGCCATTTGCCTCTCTTCCTGACAAATTTCAGGTATATACCTCAGACTCAGATTGATTATTACTTGTCAATAGGATGTGAAATTGAGTATATGCATCAGTAGATTGAACTGATGATTCCACTTTTGATATGCGCAGACTGATTGATGGGTGTGATCAATGTTCAGGGCTCTCCATCGTTCTCTATTCATTCTTCAGAGGCTAATCTTCGAAAGTCTCGAGCTTTGAGGAAACCCTTGTGCTCAATCCGGAATAGGGTTTATTGTGTTCAGTCTTCAAGTGTATCTGTAGACGAATCCAAGAACATAACCATGGGAGACTCTTTTATCCGTCCACATTTGAGACAATTGGCTGCTTATCAGCCAATTTTACCCTTTGAGGTGATGATTAGATTGGATTTATCTCTTGTCCTGATGGTAGTATTAGATTGGATGTATCTTCTAAAACGTGCATTGTTTTTTTTTGATTAGGTATTGTCTGCTCAATTAGGAAGAAAGCCTGAGGATATTGTCAAGTTAGATGCTAATGAGAACCCATATGGTCCTCCTCCAGAGGCAAGTTCATATCTTTATTTCTCTCAAGAGTTATGTTGAATCGTTGATGATTGAAAAGGGATCATTTGTTAGTTAGTAGTTTTCCTCTCTGACTTCAGGTTTCAGAAGCTTTGTATAGGTTTTTGAAGCATTAGGCAATATGAAATTCCCTTACGTTTATCCTGATCCACAAAGCCGTAGACTTCGTGATGCCCTCGCTCTAGACTCTGGTCTTGAGTCTGAATACATTCTTGTAGGCTGTGGCGCTGACGAACTGATTGATTTGATCATGAGGTATGGCTTGGGAATTTGACTTTTTCAGTAAATTGAGTTACTTCGCCACTAAAACCGTGTTTCCTGACTATCTTTGCAGATGCGTGTTGGATCCTGGGGAGAAGATCATAGACTGTCCTCCGACTTTCTCAATGTATGTGTTTGATGCGGCTGTGAATGGGGCAGGTGTCATTAAAGGTGAAAGATATACGATTTCACTCGTTTCATTCTCTTCGACTTTTCCACTCTCTCTGTGAATGTATAGTCTTAGGCATGTTTTGTCTTTGTTTGATTCACAGTTCCAAGGAACCCTGATTTCAGCTTGAATGTAGACCGCATCGCTGAAGTTGTAGAACTAGAAAAACCCAAATGCATATTCCTAACTTCTCCCAACAATCCAGATGGGAGGTAAAACACCACCACTCTAAACAACTCAAAGGAAGATACTTTTTAGTAGTCCGTCATGATTAATCCGAGTTTCTTTTTGCTACAGTATCATCAGCGAGGACGATCTGTTGAAGATTCTAAAGATGCCAATACTTGTTGTTCTAGATGAAGCTTACATCGAATTCTCAGGAGTTGAATCAAGGATGAAATGGGTGAAGAAGTATGAAAACCTAATCGTTCTCCGCACATTTAGCAAACGAGCTGGTAATTTTGGGTTTATCACTAGTGAATTATAAATTCTATACAATATATTTATATATAGTCTGCATGTAAAGAGTTCCTTATGATATTTCAGGTTTAGCTGGGCTTCGAGTTGGATATGGAGCGTTTCCATTGAGCATAATCGAGTACCTGTGGAGAGCAAAACAGCCATATAATGTCTCTGTTGCAGGGGAAGTAGCTGCTTTAGCAGCACTCTCAAATGGGAAATACTTGGAAGATGTGAGAGACGCGTTGGTACGGGAAAGAGAGAGACTTTTCGGGCTATTAAAAGAAGTCCCTTTCTTGAATCCTTATCCGAGCTACTCGAATTTCATTCTCTGTGAGGTTACATCTGGAATGGACGCAAAGAAGCTGAAAGAGGATTTGGCAAAAATGGGTGTGATGGTTCGACATTACAACAGTCAAGAGCTTAAAGGTTATGTTCGAGTTTCTGCTGGAAAGCCTGAACACACTGATGTTCTCATGGAGTGTCTTAAGCAATTTTATTGACTTCCGCATTTGTTGGGAATTCTTAAAACAACCCAAAAAAAAAAAACTGATTTTGTTGTTTTAGCTTGTTGGATTCATTGTTTCAATTAATAAGGAGAACTTTTGTTGTATTGTATGGTCTTTATGGTCTGAAAAAATGGGCCTACGTCCATAGGTAAAACTTGTTGATGGAGCTCATCAAAACTGAAACTACTAATTCCAGTCGGGTCGGATCAAATATCTACGTTGATAATTGTCTTGATGAGTAAGAAATTAGCAAGACAATGGTTGGTTCCTATAATATATAGTAATTTTTAACTTAAATTTGTTATACAAATCAAAAATTGTTTCAATCCATAAATACATTACTTGATTCAAAATTTTAGATCTGTCTCTAAACGAATTAGTAGAAGTGAAATTTTTTTCTTTCACTATTTTTAGTTTTAGTTAAAAGTGATAAAAAAGCATCTTAATATGTTACAAATTATTTTTATCTTTTTTTTTTGAAACTTTTGCCCATGCATAGTGCATGTTAAGCACCTAATTCTTTATTAAGCCAAAAAATGAAATAGTAAGAAAAATGTATTAAGCCATAAATATACTAGCTAATGCCCTAAACTAGATATAAAGTATTTTGTAAAATAAAACAAAATTTTGTCCCTTGTCCAAGAAGAGCCATCAAACTATTTTCATTTTAAATAAGTAAAAAGCTAATTAATTTTTAAAAAGTATAATTTTAAATAATTAAGCTGTAAAGGAACCTAAAAGAAAGACAAAAAGAAAACTAAAATACAATGTAAGAAAAGAAGAATAAGTATGAGAGAAGCAATAAGATCAAAGAGACAACTTGGGGGGTGTGGGCCGACATACCATCATCAGCCTCTCTGTTCCATTCAAAACCTCTAGAAGTTTTTGCTTTTCTCATCATTACATTGTTTTAGTTTCTCATTTTATTAATCCATTTCTAAAATTTCTGGATAACTGTTGAATTCACATTCCAATTTATTCGAAGATTCAAAATTATTTGTTTTGTGTCCCAAATTATCTGATTTTAAATCAATTTTTTGGGGTTAGAAATATCACACTATACACTACATAGTATAGGTCTTCTGATTGGCGTAAATTACTCGAGTCCCAAACTAAAATTTAACTATCAATCAAGCATTCTAAAACCATAACCTAATCATACACCATACAACATAGTAAAGCCAGTAATCCTTAGCCTTACTGACTAAGAATAATTGTACTATAATCTGGCTAAATAGATGGTTAAGACTCTCAGGTGTTCAAAAAAAAAAAAAAAAAAGATGGTTAAGACTCTCAATTCTCATTATAAAGTCAAAATTTGGTTATTACTAAATAACAACATTTTACAACTATATATTATTTTGGTTATAAGAAGGAAAAAAAAAGAAGAGAAATAGCCCAACATGCAACAAAAAAAAAAACTGTTTTCATAAATAACACAAAATAGTTTTATAAAATGTTTCTTACAGATTATTTAGGAAGGTTTTAGGATTGGTTCCTCCTAAAAGTACATGGTATATATATTTTTTTTTTTTTAAACCGCGATATTTTGAAAAATGTCCACTAAAGACAAAAAAAATGAGATATACAATCTAAACTTATATTGGTTATGGTCATATTGTCACAACATCTATAATAAACGTTGTAAACGTTTTTAACTGTATATTAGATGGTTATGGACTTATGGTCATATTTTTAACAGAACAAAACTAAAGCTAAAACAGTTAGCTTCTCAGTTTAATATATCGGTTAAATATAATTATCACAACACATATTAGCTCCTCTCAAAGTTATATAAACATATAAGAGTTTTATAATCCAGGACTTGTACGGTACAACACGCAGAATGATACAAGGGGAAATAAAAAGAAAAAAAGGTGGACTGGAAGGTATTACTCGGTTTTATGTTGTCGTTGATTTTACTCATAAACATGATATGAAAAGCAAATGATAAAAAAATAATGAGAAAATTTTACAATTTCCAAGTAGAACATTTAATAATAATTCTAACAGTATGCAACTATTATTTGATATATAAATTGTGATAATTAGCAATCTCAAGATTTCTAATATAAGTTCCCACTAAACCGCCCCAAACATATTAATAACAGATGTGCCCGCATGATTTCGCTTCACTTGTGAATGTGATCTCTTTACAAAACACCGAAGCTGATACTTGTATGTACATGTTAACAAGTTTTGACGTACTAAATATCTACATTGGTTTGTTTAAAACGTAAGATTATCAAACTAAAAGTGAAAGTTTAGTGGGAACCTTTGACTTGATCTTTACCAGATAGGTTGTGGTATAGGGAGACAAGTAGAGGAGGTTGTAGGGGTCACTTGGAGAATTAGTGGTCGATATCCATCCACCGTCCGTCCATCATTAATTGCAGCTAATTAGTATATTAATTTTCGTTAACATATCCAATAATTTCTCATTCAGTTAACCTAAACAAATGTGTTGAAAAGAACAGAATCGTTTTTGATATGAACTGATAGACATGTAACAGTTTTCATTAAGTTGAGTTGATAAATGATCACTTGTACAAAATAAAAATTCGACGTTATGAATTTCCGATATCCTTTTGATGGGTATTTGTTGATGTTAGTTCTTCAAAAAAGACATTAGGGTTCGAAGTTTATAGATATAGTTTTCAAGTTCTTCATATAGTAAAGATACTTTCCATTATAAATTAAATTTCGGAAATTTTTCACGTAAAGACAAATTTGAAATCAATGCCTACGAGATATTTAAAAAATCGACGATGATTAATATATATAGGGGTCATTAATTATGACTTACTATTTCTTAATTATTATTGCCACCAGGATCAGCTGGTAATAATTCATTGGTGGATATGATATCTTTCAGGGTTCAAATATATTTCTGTAAGACTATCGGAGAAAAGCCTAAAGATAGCATTCAAGCGAATTATATATGAATACACAATGATCCATAAGCACAAAATTGTTACAAGGGGTGAATATTACAATAGAAAAAAACATGACTTCACTTTTTTGTTTAAAGATTTAGATTCATATATATATATATATATTCAAACAAAAAAGTGAAGTCATATTTTTTTTCTTCTTTTATTATTAAACTGGTAAATAAAAGAAAGACATTGAAGCTTGTTTCTAGATACCGGTCGTTGTCAAAGTTCAGTTAGGATAGAATCTAAGACAAGATCCTAAGCTAACTCTTTCAGCCAAAGCAAATCTATTACTTTCTTTATCGGGAAACTTTCCTTTCTCATTTAATTCATTTAATCTTATCTTATTTGACCTTTCAAGCGATCTCTTAAACACTGCTAGTTACTGCAGTTGGGCACAATACAAACACCCGAACATTTGTAGATATTCTTAGGCATCGTTACATAGTAAGGTACTTTGATAACCATTTTGTTTCCATATATATACAAAGAATCACGTTGAGTCAACGACCAATTCTTTGTATAGTGATGTAACAAATAAGAGAGTTGATAACGTGATGCATTTTAGTGATTTTACAGTCTTGTTGATTTCCTCAAGTGTAATATAATATTATGTGTGCGGCCATAATTTTATAGTACAGTATATATATTTTATGTTGGCGGTTTGGTGAACAGTCCAATAGAAATGGACTACAATAAAAAGAAAATAAAAGAAAGTGAAAGGTCGGTAGATCACATCAGATTGTAATGATTTATCAGATTAAGTTCATGATTTTACATTTTTAATTAGTATAGACCCATTTAAACGAACTTTTCTTCATAAGTTTATAAAATTAACCGATTAGATCACTATACAAACAAATCATTCATACAAAATTCGAATGATAACAATAAACATATCATTCTACTCAACCTATATTGTTTGGAATTAATATAGGGATCATATAGATTTCCTCAAATTCTACATCAGATAAAAAGGACATTGGAGTCTTTAGACCAATGTATCATATTTTCAAGATATTGGCGTGAGTGATATCAACAACCTTTTGATTCGTGGGCGGTAAAGTGACAGTTCCAAAAAAAATCCGGTCGTCTAATGTGTCAATTACTTTTGTTCTCATGCTTTAAGCATTCGGCTTGGTAATCTAATTATTATATCTGGTAAATATTTTAGTTGATTAAATATCTTAGGGTATTAAACCGGCCAGCCAATAGTTAGGATGGAATCAAGGACTAGTTTACAGTGGCGTCACTATCTTCTACAGACAAAAAACTTCAGATGAGAATTTTAATTAGGTTCAGTAGCACGTTGACGTCTGCTGGATGAAAAAGTCAAAAAGTAAATTGTTGTATACATCGGTAATTTAATTATTTGATTAAATAATTTTAAGTTGCTAAACCCACTAATTACCGTTAAACGCTAATTTTAGTTAGTGAAGAGTGGCAAGTACACACGCACTATGATTTGTGACCATCCATATATATATATATATTATATATACAGTTCAATACACCAATATATTATATATTTGGCTCAACGCATCATGTTTAAAGAGAATAGTACTGATACAGGTATAATTCAAACAGCTTCGATAATTTGTTAATATGAAGAACACATTTGCTATCTCATGATTTTTTTTTTTCTGCCATCTCATGATACGATCCAACTTATCGTAAAATCAAATTTTTGGATAAACAAAGGGCATGCATGCTTTATCTTTTGGTGCTTCATGATATATCCAAAATTAGTAACAAATTAAACCAAAGTGAAAAAAATGAAAAAATAAAAGCAAATTCATTATACATGGGGCTCGTATATGCATGGCATACACAAGCAAGTCTTTAAATATGGTTTGAATGCAAAGAATAAGAGGAATATATATATATATATATATATATATATATATATATATATATATATTGTTAGAAGTATATAGTATATGATATATATTTATATTGAGACTTGAGACATTATGAGTAGAGAAAAGGAAAATTAGGGATCGAGGGACATTTATATAACGAAAAAAGTGAATGGTGTGAAAGGGTTTATGGATAGATGGTCTTGGATTTGAACAAAAGCTCTCTCTCTCTCCCTCGCGCAGTAGACAAATAGGCATGCATGTGAATCTGACTCCAAATCGAGTGCTAGCTCTTTGCCTTTTCTATTTTTGGTACC